TCAGATGACCTCCGTGGAACGAGTAGCTAGAAAAAGAAATCAGCCCTAACTCCTGAGTGCTGCAACCTAGAGGAGGGCTCAGGAAAGCAAGGACTGGGGAGCCCTACGGGAACACAGGCGACAGAGCAGAAAAGGGCTAATTCAGATCATCACCACCAGCCACTCTCCCTCATCCCAGCTGACCAGGGGATGCGCTGGGAAGCGCTGGATTGGAGCCAGATCTGCTTCCCACCAGGATAAAACTCCACTGGTCCCACATGGAAAATAGGGCTGCTCTATTTGACACCAGCTGAGAGTCAGATTCTCCTATCTCTGATGCTGCAGTAATGAACTTACTTTAATGGCGAACGGAAGTAAATGAGAATAGGGCTTGGAAACAATGGGTTACGTTCTTGAACTCCTGTGTGCTGCCCTTGGATGTGTTTGCCATGAGAATTAAAGGAACAACATTGAATTTGATCTGAGCTGAAAATGAAGTTCACTGAAACCAAACCAGACATACAGGGTGAATTCCTGGCACTGCTGAGGTCAACGACAAAACCCTCCGTTACCTCGCCGAAGCCAGGATTTCACCCACAGTTTTTATAAAACCAACAATCAATAGAAACCTACCCAAGATTCTTGTTTTAATTTCACTGAAAAAAGTACATAAAACAAACACTGCCCTACAATGACTGTAAACAGCCTTAAAGTGCCCTCCTGCATGAAAATGTGAAACAAATTGAAGCATGAAGGCCAACTAACCTGTTTTCTTGCTGAAAACAAGGACCATGTATAAAAGAAAAAACGGATGGAGTAAAGGTATTTGTAAATAAATAATACAAAGTTTACTTAAAGCAAAAATGAAGACACATGGGTGTGTTTTTCCACAAAGCTCACATCCATGAGTCCAGCTTTTCCAAAAAAGCCCAGAGAACAGAGGCACACAGCTAGACACATTTCCAAGAGAGGAGCATATTCTCTTTTGAAAAGTCCCAGGCACGGTATTTAATGACATAAACATTAGCACATCATTTTCAGGCTGCAATTTGTTTGTAATACTATGAATCTAGTTCACTAAATGTTGTCCTATTTATCACAAAAGAAAAAACCACTGCCATCAACCACAACCCCCACCTGCTTTGGGAAAAAACAAAGGCCACCCACCAAGAGCGTGTTCATGAGGGCAGTTCTGCGTGCTTCATTGTGGAAAAACGTCTTTGCAAGCGGTATAATTTTGCTAAGAAGAGAACAGCTGAGCTGACACAGAGCAGAGCCTCCAAAGCTTTGAAGCCCAGTTGGACTATTTATCCTGTTTTCCACTGTTCAGCTCCAGTTGCCGATACTCGCCCATCAGAAATGTCTCTCCATCGTCCTAAGCAGTTCAATTACTGTCCTTGCTGCTACGCTTCAGGAAGATGGGTTTTGTTCAGAGATGATTGTGTATTTTGGTATCTTAATCCGAGGCCACGTTTAGCCACCAGCCTCCTCTACATTTTGCCCCCGGCCATAATCTACATCAGGCTCATTTTTCATGGCTGTAAAATGAGAATTTATAAAATGGGGGACTCTCCTCCAACCTCCCTAACTTAGAGACATGTTACAAATACTGCTAGTGAGACACTCAGATACTACAGTCATAATGACAATATATGTGTAAGCCTATACAGAAAGGTCCAAGCATTTTGAAGTATGAGGCTCTGCACAGCTAAAATTGGGCAATCAAAGTAAAGGGCTACTTCAGAACATTTTGCCTAAGTAATTTCTGCTTAAAATGTTTTTAAAAGTGCCACTGGGGGAAATAATGCCATTGGCAAGCTCAGATGCAGATGACAGAGAATGTTATTTTGATCTAATTGAACTTAACAAGGAAGAACAAAACGATTATTCAAGTGTGAACCAGGTGTAGCAATAACAAAGGAACAACCAATGAAACAAAGTCAGTGAAGCTGAAAAGAAATACCATTTAAACCGACAACAAAGATTTGAAGAAAAACTGGATATTAATATGCACAATGAGAGGATCCACAGCTACGCTCCCACTTCTACATCCTTTGTATGTGTGAGGTTATCCCCATACTCTGAAGTGACAACATTACGAAAAGTAATTTCCTGGGTTATTTTAAGGTTATTTATTTGAAGCATCAGACCAATTTCACAGGCCAGACACAACCTCTTTGCAAGGTCCAGAGCCAGACACCGATTTGTGTCTGAAACACAGACACTCTAGCTGCGTTTGGAGGACTGGCTCCTACGCCCAACCTCCATGTCAATCAATCCGAGTCCGCCCACCAGGCTGGGGATCAAAGATCGCTCGTAACTGTCCTCTAAGAGATGAGGATGTTCTAGTCCATAAGGAGCTAGGTTTGAACTGAGGAGAGGTAGGCTGATCCCTGGCTGTGCCTAAGATCTCTCTATATCCGTGGACTGGACAATAGACACCAGTACCTGTTCTGAACCATGCTCTTTTATTTCTCTGTACCTTGGCTCCCTCAGCAGCGCCTCACGATACATGAAAGAAGGCAAGATGCTCAGATATTGTATCACTTTACACCTTTATCCTTGATCCCCACATGCGGCAACAGACTCCAGGGCGCCGTGTTACGGTTTACACGTGATCAGCTGCACTGCAACAGAGGTTTTTAATTTTTTCTCTAGCTCAAACAAGGTTAACAACAATGACTCACTTACGGAGTTTTAAGATCCTGACTCTGACAGCCAAGCATCTGTAGCCAACGCAAGCGGGGACAGATAGCCTGGAAGTCATTCATGAGGTATTTTAGAGCCAGAGGGGAACACCATGAGTGTCTAATCCTGGTGTCAGCACAACAGTCAGTCTGTCTGTCTTTTTATTTTGAGAGATTTTCATTTCCCAATTTCTCTCTTCCTCCAAAAGAGGATATGAGCACAGGAGGAACAACGCTAACAAAAATCCTGGTGCTAAAGCTGCGTTCACAAGTGGGCATGTGCAAAAACCTTAAATGGCCCCATTTTCAGACACATAGTACACTGGCATCAAGCTTCTAGGTGTGAACCATATGACGGACACCTATCCATAGACATCACGGAGAAAGGAACCGAGGCACAGGAATGGGGAGAATCTGCTACTCATACTGGAGCCAGAGGTCAACGTGGCTCTGGTTTCAGTAAAAGCAGACCCAAAAATCTGGCCAAGTCACACAAGTAGCAAAGTAAACGCTGCCAACAGAGAACACAAGAGCGAAATGACTGACAGCTGCAAGATGTGGAAATCCGGGGGGTCCTGCTTTCCCACCCCTACACAAGCTTTTTCTCAGCAACCTGGACAGACATCAGAAATCTCCCACTGCTGGTACCTGGTCCAAAGCACCACGTGACTTACACAGCCCACTGTTTCCATACTTATCTGAGAAAGAGGAAAGCAAAGCTTTCTTGGGAGAGAAAAAACAGCCAGCTTACTGATCATGGTGGTGCCCCCAGCCAGTGCAGCCTTGGTCCCTTGGAAGAAGTCATCAGCAGATGTCATCCCCTGTTCCGGCATCTGGAAGCGGGTGTGAACGTCAATCCCTCCAGGAATCACCATCCTGCCGTGGGCTTCAATAGTTTTCACTCCCCCTGGCACAATCAGATTCTCTCCTATTTGCCTGGGTAAACAGGTTTCAAACAGCAAGTCAGACACAAACAAGGCAAACAGCCTGTAAATAGACACCCCTGTGCGACTGAACGTGGTTAGTGTTTTCTTTTTCCACATAAAGCATGTACAGGATCAGCAGACATAGCCGACATTTTATTCTTTCCCTTGAAGCAGTTGCATAATTGAGAGCAAAGCGTGCAATTACTTCAGGACCTCGGGGCAATATTAGACTTAACAGGAAGGAAAAGAAGGAGCCACACTGGCAGGCAGCTGGAGAAGGGACCATCATGCAGACAATCTGCTGATCACTGCACCAAACACAGCGAGAGCCTCGTGAGCAGCTTTACTGGGACCGCACTGGGGTTGCCAAGTGGCAGTTCAACACCTAATTCTAGCCATCTTACAGAAATTTAGATGTTAGCATTGATTTGGGAGCACTGGAAGAATTTTTGCCTCTGTATTGTCTACTTTCCTTTCATGCATGAATCCTACATAGTCTCTGCACAGATATAAACCCATGCAGACACCAAATTCCTGACAAGACCCTCAAAGGTCTCTCCAGCCCAGATCTTCACAGACCTACTTTTAAAAGCACAACAGTAGATGAGACATTGCAATTAATTAGCTGTCTTTGGCTGGTTCCTTTAACTTTTAACCTTGATTAACAAAGCACATGTGCTGACCGTTTAGCCAGAACAGGAAAATTTCTTGTTTGTAAGCTCTGGCCCGTCCGTTTTTTTCCTAAGAGTAATTTTCCAAAGAAATCTGTAATATATTTAACTTGCCAGAAACGCATGTTTCAGGACTTAAAACACAGAAGCATGCTGGAAAGAGGTCTGGACCTCAGTCCTTAAACTACAGGATCATTTTTAACTTTATGGGGGTTTGGATTGATCCCTGCATCATAGACTCACAGAAGACAGCGCTGCAAGAGACCTCAAGAGGTCACCTAAGTCTGGCCTCCCCACCCTAAACCAGAATTAACTGCATGAGGATGCTGAACTCTGGATTCAAAATATCTTAAGTCATAACTCAGTAAAATGCTACAACACAGATAACTTCAAACATATGTGTCATCTCAGCATGGGGCTGTTCACATGGCTAAAATTAAGCACATGTAAGTACCTCCTCTGACCCACGCTTTAATAACAATGGGGTTCAGGCCCATTTGTTTATTTAATTTAACATCTTGTTTTTCAAGTTCCTCCATCAAACACCAGGATATATGTGAAACGTTCAGTTTTCATTGCAATTTAATATAGCTCACTGAGACTAAGTTATTCCTTGCTAATCTGCAGTACATTTCTGTACATTTCCAATCATAACACGGTATCAGGCTTCACTTACTTTATCAACCCATCTTCCATGTAAATGTCTGCATAGAAAGACTGGTCGTCATTAACTATTTTACCACCTTTGATCAAAAGACGATCGCTCTGCAACAAAGAAGCACACGACAACACATAATTATTCTGTGAGAACGCTGACAGTCTGCAGTGTCACTTCAGAGATAAAAGAGTAGAGACGGAAACAACCTCTGCATTATTCAAAGGTGCATGTCAAAACACAAGTCAACTGCTGCACTTTCAACTGGAAAGATAAAATATTTTATTTCATCTGCAAGTCCTTTCATCACGCTAATGATCCAAAAAAATTAGAACGGAAAAGGAGTTGGGTTCCAGTGGGCTTGTCTACTTGGCAGCTTCACTCCTACCTGCAGCTTGCCACCATCACCTGCAGCAAACGCGTCAAGTAACACTTGGAGGGATGCGTAATGGCCACCTCTCTCTTATTTCTGCCTTGGTCGTATGCAAAGTTTCCTACACGCACCCACACAGCAGAGTCAGGACTTGGTGAGTCAACTGCTGTCAGGGAAATGGACCAAAAGTCTGTTGCCACAGGTTACACAACACAAACAAACTCTTTTTGTCCAACTTAGTGATGTTTCGATGCACTGGATACTTGTACTGCCTTTCCAGAGCACTACTGCATAATCAGATGGAAATAAGCACATGTTGGCAAATTCAGTTTAAGGATTTCAAAAACAGTTATTAAAATTCCCTCCAATTAGCAGGCAGCTTGGCAGGAACAGAAAGGTAATTATAACAAGGCAGCTATCAGGCAACATGCTTTTATTGCAGCCCAGGTTACACCTCGCTTTTGTGAGATTTTAGGGCAAAATCAAATTTATCTTTTTTTGCAGTACCCACAAACAAGAGCAAAACACACCCTGCAGAGCTCTGGATGGGGCAGAAAGTTAGAAGTGACTGCTACGTTCCTCTGGTTCCTTCATTCCCTACATCACAGACACATATATTCAAACCAAAGCACATCCACGTTACGCAGCGCTCAATTTAAACCTTACTGTAGCCCTTATATTTGCACTTATACTTCAGTTCTCTCTCCTCCTCCCAAAAACATCTTTGTAGGAGAACAAAGCAATACCAGCACTGCATAGCCAGGCTGGTGAAGCCAAATGCTGAATTCAAGAAGGGGTAGAAAGCAGGACTTGAACTTGGTGGTTGCCGTGAACTGAGAGCAGATCCATCCAGGACACTGCCAGTGGTGCTCAGGGGCCTTATTTTGACTGGGACTCTGCTGGTCCCCCAGAAGTATCAGGCATTTTCCCAAAGAGCTTACAATAAAGCTGAAGAGTTGGAGTACCTGATTCTCAACTGACACAAGCCGACATGGCTCTTCTAATGCCAAAAAGGCTACTTGAATTGCATCAGCTACTGATTTATACCATTATATCCACCTTTTATATAACTGCTAAGCATCTATGAAATATTAAGTGTCTCTCCTTCCCCCTCCTTTTTTTTCCCCTTCTCCTTCCTCCTACTGCTGCAACGAAGTTTCCCTGAATAACGGCACCAATTTAAAAAACAAAGAAAACCCCAAGATTTAAATTTAGGATCTGCCGTGAATGCCAATAAGCCTGAATGAATTAACTTGGGGCGTGAAAAACCCACTTGTCTTTCAACGCCAGCCTCTACAGCAAACTGTCCTACATGGTTACCATTTCCAGAAACACTGCAGTATTTATGCCCACCTCTGGTGCAGACTTCTTGTGCTACTGAAAAGGCCGGCTACAAGCAAAACCAGCTGGTTTGGCCACCAATGTCACTGACAGCCCAAGTCCTACTGCACCGAGCATCGATCAGGAAAGAAGAAAAATACATATACATATATAGTGACCAACAAAAATGCGGTCTGGGCTATTTTGATGATGCTCTCAATGCTCCTGCTAATAAACAGGTCTCCTGCTGCGGCTGTGTGGTGGGCTCTGAAATCGCTGCGAATCCTTCTGCTCGTTTCAACCACCTTGGAGACAAAAGCGCACGCAGTTTGCAACCGTGCGAGGGCCTGCTGCTACCCCACTGATGCAGCCAAAATAGACATTATCCTGCTTCTCCAAGGATTAATCTCCGTAGATCAATTCCAGATTCATACAACAGCAAATAAGACCAGAATCTGATTTTTTCTATCCCTTATCTTTACAAGAGAATTGCACGGGGTGCACGCAACATCAACCAGAGCACTCAGTCATAAGAAAAATGCGTCATACTACTTTTGGCCTGTGACAGCGATTCAGCAGTAACCTTCATCGTTATTTAAATGTAGGCATCTTTTTAAACTCTCCACCAACAGACTCTTGGAGGGAAACTATTCCCCACCACCACCCCCCAAAAAAAAAAAAAAGGATGCTCCGTTTATCACATCACAATTTTGTGCATCCCCTGCATGTCCTAAACATCACGTAAAACGTAACCGCACAGCCCGGCGGCTCCTGCACAAATGTCACACTTCAAAGCCCCATTTCAGAGCTCACTTTTCTGCCTCCGAGGCTGAGGAAGGACTAGGATGGGTGTGTCCGTGGGGCTGGGGGGAAGGAGCCGCTGCCCGTAATGAAAAACTCTTGTGTCAAAAAAAAAACCCAATGGCTGTAACAGCCCGTTAGAGGCGAACATCTCGCCTTACGTAACGAAAAGTTCGTACCCTTGGATCCGCAATACCTGCCCTAAATCGGCTCCCACAAGGAGGGAACCAAGGGAGGGGTTTATATAACGGCTCCTTCCCTTTTCCCCCAGGATCGCAGCGAGGAGCGGACCGGAACGCCCGCCTTGCGAGAAGCTTCTCGGGGAAGAAAAGGAAACCCCGCTCCATCC